TTTACAGCCTCAGAAACCCTGTGCAGGGTCGCTATGAGTCGGAACCGACTCCACGGCACATAACAACAACAACAACAACATAATGTCCTCAAGGTTCATCCATGTTAAGTGGTGGTTTGCAGCTTCCTTGTTATTCTTCAAGGTAGCATAATATTCCATTGTGTGTATGTACCACAGTTAGTTTATCCATTCTTCAGTTGATGGGTACTTTGGCTATCTCCATCTCTTTGCTATTGTAAGTAGTGCTGCTATGAACATTGGTGTGCATATATCTATTCGTGTTATGGCTTATATTTCTTGTAGGTTAATACCAAGTAGAGGAATTGCTAGATCATATGGTATTTCTATTTTCAACCTTCTGAAGAAGCGTCATATTGCTTTCCAGAGAGGTTGTCTTCTGCTAATCTTTCTGATGTGTCTTGTAGACATCATATTGAAGGATCCTGCTTTCTTATCCATTTTACCCTTTCATCTCTTGACTGGTTCATTTAATACATTTATATTCAGTGTAATTCTTGAGAAGTATGAATTGGTTACTTTTTGCTGTGTGTTTTTGTGTGTGGTGCTACTGATTTCTTTATACCACATAATTTTCTGCACTGTGTTAATTTTGTTTATGGGTTTTCTTTTCCTTTTTTATTTCTGTTTGTGTTTATTAAATGTTTACTAAATCCTTCTGAGTTTCCTCTTTTTTTAATTTTAGATGTGTAGGTATATTTTCTTTGAGGTTACTTTGTAATTTATTAATTTTTTCCGTATTCATTATAAATTGATACCTTTGGTTCCATGTTTTCAGTCTTTAGGAGCTCTGGTAGCGTAGTGGTTATGAATCAGGCTGCAAACATTAAGGTCAACAGTTCAAAACTACCAGTGTTCCACAGGAGAAAGATGAGGCTTTCTGCTCCCATAAAGATTTACAGCCTTGGAAACCCTGTATAGGGTTGCTATGAGTCAATTCCGACTCCATGGCACATAACCACTGCCTCCAGGTTTGTTTTAAATACTTGTATCTGGATTGAGTTTTGTGTGGTGGTGTCATGTATATTAATCTCAGGTTGTTGTCTGCTGTTGTTAGTTCTCTGTCCAAAGAACACCCTTCAGCAATTTTTTGTAAAGTTGCAATCTGGTCATTACAAATTCCTTTAATTTTTAGCAGGAAAAATTCTAATTTAACCATCATTGAGGGCTTGCTTTGCTAGGTATATGATTCTTGGTTGGCAGTTTTTTCTTTCAGAGTTTTGTATATGTCATCTCATTGCCTTCTTGTCTGCATTCTTTTTGCTGAGAAATCAGAGCTTAGTCTTATTGGTTCTCCTCTGTTAGACATCTTTTCATTTTTCCTGAGCTACTTTCAGGATACTTTCCTTGTCTTTGGTTTTGGAAAGTTGGTTATGGTATATCCTGGTGATTTTCTTTTAGGGTCTATTCTGTTTGGGGTTCATTTGGCTTCTTGTATGCTTATCTTCTTGTCTTTCGTGTTAGGTAAGTTTTCTTCCAATAACTCTTCAACAGTTTTCTCTGTGCTTTTTATGTCTCATTCTGTTCTTGAATTCTTATCACCTGTAAGCTGTTCCTCTTTGAGGTGTCCCATGTAACTCTTAGAGTTTCTTTGGATTTTTTCATTCTTTTATTGTGATTGTTCTAGCATACTAATATTGAGAGATTTATCTTCAAACTAATAAATTGGGCTTCTGTTGCTTCTAATCTACGTGTTCAACCTTGCAGTGTCCATTGCTGAAATCTTAGTATTAATCTTCTGGATTTCTAATTGTAGGTTTTGTATTGTTTCAAATTTTGTGTTTATTCTGTTTTTTACTATAATGTTTTCCTGAATTATTCTTTTTTTCTGTATTATCCTTACTTCCCTTGATCTTTCTTTCAGTCCTTTGAAGGTACCTAAATATCATTCTCTTGAATTCTTTTTCAATTAGTTCCATTACCTGTTCTTCATCAGAAACATTTTCTGGTTCTGCGTCTTGGTCATTTGAGCCATTTTCTCTTGTTTCTTGGTGTTACCTAAGTTTGTCTGTTGTCCTGGGGCTTGTAGAGTTGTTGTATTTGTTTTTAATAGATGATTATATTTTGATGTGTTCTTAGGCTCTCACCAACTGTCTCCTGTAGGTGTAGTTAGAGTGGAAATGTGTGCACCGTTCTCCTTTTCTACTTATACACCTCAGCTTAGGGTGGTTTGGGCTGGTGTTGGCTGCTGTTTATCATTGATCAGGTGTTGTAGGATCTTATACTGGCTCCTGTCCCGTGGGTGGAGCTGGAGAGGGTATGGTAGTGGCTCGTTGTATGGGCTTGATGCTCTTTCCTGTTGGGTGATCCATACATACTCACAAGAAAACAAAACACAATATACAACAAGGAACCTTCAATGGAAAGAGAAAATAATAAAGATTAAAAAGAAATTAAAACTGGCAGCAACCAGAAAAGCAGAATATAATAAAGACAAAAGAGGAACAGGAAATGAAGTATTTTTAAAAAACACTTAGAAAACCATTGAGAGGGAAGATAAAAAGAGAGAGTAGAGAGTTTTAAAGAAACATCATAAAGGAAATAAAAAACAAGAGGGGAAATGAGAAACAGAAGAAAAGGAAAACAAAAGCAGAGATATAAAGGATAAAATTCAAGGGAATGGAAAGAGAAGAAGGAAGATAAAGAATAAGTAAAAACAATGAAACAACAAAAGGGAAAAACAAAAAAAAGCTGTTAGGTTGAGGAGGAAAAGAGTCAGGGCTTCTGAAAGCCAGGGAACTCACGAGGTGAGTGTGGAAGGGATGTGACAGCAGAGATCCTGGTCCTAAATGGAGCCCTATTGGCCTCTGTATTTATCTGTTCAGGGCACTCCACCTGGAAGCAGTGCGTGGAGGCCCTTGTTGGAGCTGGTTTCAGCGTCTCTTAGGAACACAAGGTAGTTTGATACAGAATGACTGGTTAAATGCTGGTCTGGTGGCTTGCTAGGTCTGTAGGTCTGGAGTTAAGCTCCCTATGAGCAGGGTCTGCACTCGGAGTGGATGAAAGTAGGAACTGACCATACCTGTGGTCTCCAGGGGAGCGAGGGAAAAAAGAAGGAATCACACCTTTCCCACCAGCTCTGTGAATCCAATCTCTTTTGCCAAAGCTGCTCACAAGATGGTCAAGCTGCATCTGGCCAGCCATTCATCAGTCAGTCTCCCTGTCTCACCATCCCTGCTCAGTTTCTCTTCCCAGCAAGCACTCAGTCTACTTCTCTAACTTTTCCTCCAAAGTTAAGTGCTCCATATTTTCATCTATTTCACCTGGTCTTTTATATCTTTGTTGTAGAAGATCTGTATAGTGCATATAACTTGTCTGACACCTTGCCGGAAGTCCTCCGAATCTATGATTTTTAAGAATTTTTTTTTTTAATTACCCCATATTTAGCTTTTTCCTGAAACCAAGTACCTCTGGTGACAGTTTACAAAGTGGCAGTATTCCATTGGCAACTGAACCCCTGGAGCCTAAACTTGTGTCCAATTCAGCAGAACCTGATTTGATCAACTTGATGGATTTACCGAAACATACCCAGACCATAACTGAGGAAACAAGCGCTGCAGTTGAATCCAGGTACTAAAGGATGCAAAGAACTCTTTGTAGTAAACCAGGTACCTTAGAAAGTACCAAGTACTCCAGAGACAACCAGTATCTTGTAACTAAGTCTGGCATTTAAAAAACTTTTAACTTTTTACTGCCACGTATTGTTTAAATATGTAACAAATGAATCTGGTGATAAACCATTTTTGAAAATACATTTAATATTTTGCATTGGTTTTTTACAAATTGAGCATCTCAGCAGAAAAAGATATCCTTTAAATATAGCAATTGCCAGTTTCCAAGGAAATACTGTCTCTCATTAATATTGATTGAATCAGACATCTGTTGAAGAGCCTTACTGTATGCTAAGATATAAGCTAAGCTCTAAAGGAAAAAAGAAAATAAAGCCTAGTCTGTAGCCTCATGAAATCTTGGCCTGGTGGAGATTAAATACTTGTCCAGGAATTTACAAGACTTATATTTCCATGCAGCTTACTTTTAGGTGATTCTGTTTAATAAAGATGAATGGATATACTTTGATCTTTAAAAAAATAACTACCTGTTCTCTATCATCTTTCTGCTTCCCGCCTCTTACCAGCACCGCTAACTCCATCCTGTTGTTCTGACCAGTGTTACAAAAATGCTTGAAGAAAATTTAGGTTATATGAAGATTCAAGATTCATTGTAGAAGATAGCTAGCTCTCCAAATTTAGGTTGTTTTTCCTATATAAACACAAGCATTTCCTCTTTTTTTTTTCCCCTTTCAAAGTGATGAACTAAAGAAAGCCAGTGGAGATGATGTTCAAACTATGAAAATTTCACCTGCGCCTAATAGTTCATCAAAGCGAAGTGTGTCTTTGACACGAAGTCACAGTGTTGGAGGCCCTTTGCAAAACATTGATTTTTCCCAGCGACCGTTTCATGGCATTTCAACAGTTAGTCTTCCAAACAGCTTGCAGGAAATTGTGGTATGTAAAAGCATTATGGTTCTACTGTGGATTCATGTAGAAGTCCTGGTGGCAGAATAGGATAAGCACATTCTACAATTACAGTTTTGACAGTCACAATTAATCCTGCTAACAAATACTGACAATTGAACCCAAAAATCCTATCAGCAACATCCCCATGCCCTTTCACCAGACCCATCTGTGGGGATTCTTCCTTACCTCCCTCATTCTGAAACTAAGCACACCCATGAAAGCTTGTAAGCCAGCCACTTCATGCCTTTATAAGTCTGCCTCCCCCTCTCCCCCCCATTTTTGAAAGCCAATGTCTAAATTGCTTTCCCTATCAACACAGTACACTGAGGAGGTAAGCATGTTCCTAATATAAAGAATCTTCCATTTCGGTGGGAATTTTGAGCACCTGCATCCATAAGCAAAAGTCCAGTTCATCAAATTATAGCAATTTACACTTATTCACAGTATCAGACATCTTTATCTTCATCTGGTCAGGTCTGGTCAGCTTAACCTGCTCCCTCCAAGCTAGGTCAAATGGATACCAGCTGCAAATTTGAGAGCTCATGCACACCTCCCTGCACTTGTAACCAATTGGCCCCTTCACTCTCAGCCCCAGCCCCCAGGGGCTAGGTCAGGGACCATGGGCTCAGGAGTTCACAGACCTTTTAGTGGACTTATGTAATCACATGAGAAGTAAGTAAAATGTTCCATGAACAGATTAAGAAATTTTTTTTTTAATTTTTTATTGTGGAGAATTTCAAATATATATAAAAATAAACACAAGATATAGTGAATCACCTTGGCCTATCTTCTCACTTCAATAACTTTCAGCTTATGGCCAATCTTCTTGCATGTATACCCTCCTTCACTTTCCCCTTTATTGTTTTGAAGCAAATTTCAGACATTTTACATTACATTTGGAAATACTTCAGTATGTATATCTAAAAATTAAGGACTTTTTTTTTAAAAAAAAGAAGAAAATACATATGCCATTATCATACCACTCCAAATAAGTCATATTATCAAGATTTTCAGTCTTTATTCAAATTTTATGATTGTTTTTTAAATGTCCAATGTGTTTTTGTTTTCAGTTTGTTTAAATTAAAACCAAATAAGATGTGTGTGTTGCATTGGCTTATGGGCTTTTAGAGTTATTTTTAATTTATCTGTTCCCTGTCTTATTTTCTCCTTGTAATTTAATTATTGATAAAGTAAGATCATTTTCCACTTAGATACTAGAGTTGCTCACAATCCAGATTGTGCTGATTGTCGTCTTAAACATTGGTGTTTGCATGTAGACGTATGATCTGATTTAGGTTTTGCTTTTGTCGTTCATTTGTTTTTGTACTACAGCTTCAGTAGTGGTATGTTTCTTCATTAGGAGACACATAATATTTTAGTTATCTGTCTATGTGATGTGAGAGTATCTATTAATGTCTCAGAGCTTAGTTATCTGGGGATTGTAACAAGTTGAGGATTTCTGACATGACACTGTAGAATCAGCACTGGACTATGAACCACAAAGTTAGCAGTTCAAACCCACCAGATGTTCCTTGGAAACCATATACAGGGTCACTATGAGTCAGAACCAACTCGTTGGCACTTAACAACAACAAACAAAGTGATTGTCTCTCATTTCTTTGTTATATGCCTATAAAGAGTATCTTTTAGTTGGTTTTCTAAAGCTGCAGTATTCAGTAGAAAGACAGGATAAATGTTTGATTCTGTCTGTTTACCCATTTTAAACCTGAGTTTGGTCTCTAGCGTTTTCCAAGGTGACCAGCTAATTTCAGGGAGAGAAATCATTATGAGCCCATGGGTTTAAGTATCTGTGTTTCAGTCCGCTAATGTTGTTCTCTTCAAGTTGACTCCTTAGCCCTTTCGACACCACTCATAGCTTTTTTGGAGACTTTGTTTTGTATTTTGAAAGCTTCTTTGTTTTTATGTATGACAAGGTGTTTCACCTTCCTGTGTATATTCCCTTCCTCAGGTCTGAAATCAGCCATTTTGCTAAAGCTGTGATTCCATTTAGTGGGAAATGGTATTGAGAGACCACATTCTGGGCACTAGGGATATTCACTGATACAAAGAGCATTGCATAATCTTTTCATTGTGATTATAATGTACATAAGTTACAGTGTTGAGGTTGTTCTGTGGGTTTGGTCTTTTCATTTGAATTCAAATAATTTGCCTTTTTAAAAATTATTTCAGCTTTTGTCATAATAAAATGTAGACTTTAATACACTTTTAAGAGGAGTTAACAAAAATTTTTAAAGTATGTTTAATAAAAAGAATACAAACACAAATGTGCACTACCTGTTTGTTAGGAGGAAGATAAGACCATCTTTAGTATCGCCATAATTTAAAATATCTAAAATGCAAGTATTTCTTGTTACAAATTTAAAAGGAAAAATTAATCCTTTATGCCCATTGCTCTTATCATCGGAGTCCTGGTGTGGCATTGTGGGTTAATGCTCTGGACTGCAAGGTTGGTTTGAGCTGCAAGGTCAGAGTTCAAGCTCACCAGCCACTTCTTGGAAACCCTCTACGGGGTCACTATGAGTCAGATCTGACTTGATGGCACTTAACAACAACAAGCTCTTATTATCAACTTGATAGAGAAACCCTATTTTAAGGTTCTGTTTCAATATATATTTTTTATTTTTTGTTGCAGCTATTCAACTTAAGGGCATTTCAGGGTTGTTTAGTTTTTAGGTTTTTGTTATCATGTTTTCTGCATGTAACAGTGGCCCTGAAAGAGCTGATTTAACAGTGCAGATAAGAAAGCATAATCTAATTCAGAAATATGCATTAAACTGGTAATACTCATTTCTTCTTTTTAATTGTTACTTTTAGGATCCTTTAGGTACAAGGCCCAGTCCTCCCCCTGTTTCTGTGCCCTACTTGAGCCCTCTAGTGCTTCGTAAAGAACTTGAATCTCTGCTAGAAAATGAAGGTGATCAGGTGATTCACACATCGTCGTTCATCAATCAACATCCAATCATTTTCTGGAACCTCGTTTGGTATTTCAGACGTTTGGACCTACCTAGTAACTTGCCTGGACTTATCCTCACATCTGAACATTGTAATGAAGGTGTACAGGTATGGTACCTACTCCTATTTTTACCACATTTGGGTTGGTTTGGATGAGGCCTATAACTTAACAAGACATTTAGCAGTTTGAGTGGGTGTCACAAGGACCTGAGGTCCTTCTATCTTTTTGCTCAGCTGTTGCAAGGCCTCCATTTCATATTCATGGTCCAGGATGGTTCAACCTAGCTTCAAGTCATCATATCCACATTCCAACCAGCAATGTGGAGGAAAATAACTGGAGAAGAGTATGTCTTCTTTCTTTAGGGACAACTCCTGGAAGGTACACATACTGTCACATATATCCATTTAACGTGAACTTAGTTACATGGTGAGTCATAGCCAGCTCTAAGGGTAGCTAGAAAAGGTAGCTTTTATTCTGAACAGTCATATTCCCAGTGGAAATCATTACAACTACCTTATTATGTGGCTCCTCAAATATGAGGATCCGTAAGTGATGAAGAGCCAAGACCAAGACCTGGCTGTCTAACCCTAAAGTCACTGTGCTGTTTATCTGGAACCCTGACTCCTTTGATGACAGTGAGCTCCTATATTTTGTGATAGCAATATTGAGAGCTACCCACACCCCACACATATATCAAGGGTACAGCAAAATCTTTTCTGTGAGGTATTATAAAGTCTAGTTTGACTTATTTACTTATTTATTGACTCAGTTTTTTAAGTAGTAATCAGTCCTTGGTCAGCCAGTAGAAATGATTGCACTTCCTCTTACCTTAAAGCTTGGAGGTTCATCTCTCATGTGGCCATTGTGCCAGTTAGCAGACTAGCATTTCAGTTCTTGAGAGTCAGAACGAGAAAGTCAGAAAATAACGAAAACATTTATTCTAAAACACAAATAAAAATTTAAAGTTTACTAAGAATTTTAGTTCAGAATTTTGAACTAACTCATTTGTTTTATGCGTAGTTATGCTTTATATCACATTTGAGTTTACATATTTTCTGTTTTAATCTTTTTTAGCTTCCTCTGTCGTCTCTGTCCCAGGATAGCAAACTTGTGTGTATTCAGCTGTTATGGGATAATATCAACCTTCATCAGGAACCAGGAGACCCTCTGTATGTTTCGTGGAGGAGTCTTAGTAAGTAGAATAGAACCAAGTTAGAAACTGCTCAGATAACCGTTTGTAGGTGAATGTGGGTAAGCATATGGAGGTATATCCATCCATACTGTATAATCCTTTTCAGCAATAAAGAATGGACTACTAAAATTAAAAGTTAAAGAGATGAGAGAAGTAAATTATTTTGCTTTATTTATTTAAGTTTTTATTGTGAATCGAGTGATAGTTTATATAGGAGAACAGTGGTTTTGCACTCATCCTATTGTTATTTCTTTTGCTTTACTTTTTAAACTTTTATTATTAATTTTTAGTGTCTTAGTGAGATATTTTCTATTTTAGTTCAAACTGTTTTATTTTTGTACTGACCTATGTCAGGTCTTGGAGTCCTGGTATGGCGCTGTGGGTTAATGCATTGGACTGCAAAGTCGCTTTGAACCACAACGTCGGCGTTCAAGCTCACCAGCTGCTCCTCGGAAACCCTATACAGGGTCACTGTGGGTTGGAACCGACTCAGTGGCACTTAATAAAAACAGTATCAGGTCTAAACTGAGTTAAGAAGTAGGTTTGTGTGTGTGTGTATGTATCAAATACCAGTTTGGCTTGGTATTTTGAGAGTAAATTTTATATGTTAGAAGAGTTTTTTTGATTTGTTGACATAGTATCATAATTAGGATTATGGATGGATTTTTAGTCCTTTATAGTTATGTTTTTTTTTGTTTGTTTTTTTTAAATAAAATATTGTTGTCCATGCATTCAGAAGCCCTGTTAATCAATAGCAAAAATATAAATAACCCAGTAGAATTTGTGAATTATGAATGGGCAGTTTCTGGAAGTAATGTTAAATGGCTTATAAACATACATATTTTTTTAATGCTCAGTCACATTTGTTGTTGGTGTTAAGTGCTGTTGAGTCAGTTCTGACTCATAGTGACCCTGTATAGGGTTTCTGAGAAGCAGCTGGTGGGTTTGAACTGCCAACTGACCTTATGGTCCAGCACATTAACCCACAGCACCATACCAGGATCATGTTAGTATTTATTTTAAATGACTCTTTCTAAAATAAATGAAAATGCAAGTTTTTACCTGTCAGGCTGACAAAAATTTTTAAAGACTAACAATGTCCAATATTGTTATGGACCCAGGAAGAAAGAACACTTTCATATACTGTTAGAAGTATGTTGTAGTTAGGCGCCATTGAGTCAGTACTGACTCATAACGACCTTATGCACAGCAGAATGAAACACTGCCCAATCCTGGGCCAACCTCACTATTGTTCCGACACTTGAGTCCATCGATGCTGCCACTTGGCCAATCCATTTCGTTGGGGGTCATCCTCTTTTTCTCTGACCCTCCACCTTACCAAACATGATATCCTTCTCCAGCGACTGGTCCCTCCTGACAATAGGTCTAAAGTATGAGAGACGAAGTTTAGCCGTCTTGGCATCCAAGGAACACTCTGGCTGCACTTCTTCTTCCAAAACGGATCTATTGGTTCTTTTGGCAGCCCATGGCACTTTTAGTATTCTCCTTCAACACCACAACTCAAAGGCATCAATTCTTTTAAGGTCTTCCTTATTCACTGTCCAGCTTTCGCATGCATATGAGGTTATTGAAAATACCATGGCTTGGGTCAGGCATACCTTAGTCCTCAGGCTGACATCTGCTCTTCAACACTTTAAAAGGTTCTTGTGCAGCAGATTTGCCTAATGTAATACATCATAATATAAAATGATATATTTTGAAGAACAGGCTGTAGGAAAAAGCATTAGAACCACAAGGTTAGCGGTTCAAACTCACTTAGCCACTCCTCGGAAACCCTATACAAGGTTGCTATGAGTCAGAACCAACTCAACAACATTTAACAACAAAGTAGGAAATGTTATCCAAATTTAATATATGGATACTCCTTACCTTAGCATTTACACTAATAAGATACTGCCCTATAAAATACAAGTGTACAAAGCTTGTGTGTACAGTGATGTTTACTGTAGGATTTTATAATAATAATGAAAAATTTAAATAAAAATAACCAACAGAAGAATGATGGTATATACACACTTTAAAAAATATTGGTTGCCAAGAGAAGAAGGAGAGAGATTGATACAAAGGGATGCCTGTTAGATATCACGTGAAAAAGATAACCAGTTGGACAGTGTGATCTTTTCCTCATTTTATTGGGGGACAAAATTCTGTATATGTGTGTTAAACATTGTTCAGATATAAATGTTTATCAAATTGTTAATGGTGGCAACTTGAAAGAAAAAGGGAGAAGTTTACCTATATCAACTTTACAGTTTCTATGCTTCAAGCTGAAAGAAAAAAAATCGAACTCTTGTCCTTGAAATATCCCTGTCACAAAAGTATGGTTAAATATATTGTAAGCTGTTTTTACCCTTATTTTTTGGTTCAGTTATGATATATGAAGACTTTTTAGACAGATTTATGCTGGGAAAGACTGTAAGTTAGAACCGCCATTTCTTTATAGTAGTTCTTGTCTACCACTTGAAGCAGACAAGTGTTGCAAAGTAGTCTGATCATTTGTGCAGGGAATCAAATTTTAAACCCTCAAGAATGACCTTGTTTGGCATACCAGACTGACCAGATTGACATGTAAGTAACAGTAAGAGGAAGAGATAACTATGGAATGACAACGGGAGGAGTTTTGCATACTCTCTCAGTGAAGCAAGTGTAAGTTGTAAAAATGATTTTAAAATAGCAACAAGAAGCACTGAACGTTTTTGGAAATCAGCCAAAGACTATGAAAAGAATATTTATTTGAGACAAGCTTGGCAGTCTGCTCCCGTAAAGGTTACAGCCAGGCAAGCACTGTGGAGCACTCTATTTTGTAGCTCATGAGATGCTGCCTTAAGTCAGAATCTACTTTGGGACAATGTGTTTGCGTTGTTTGTATGACTAAGAGGTGAGGAGTGCAGGTAGGCTCAAGTGAGGAATGACTGCTGATAGGTTTGGGGTTTCTTTTTTTGATGATAAAATGTTCTAAAATGGATTGTGTTGGTGAGTACACAACTTTGTAGATATACTAAAAACCTGTGGAGTTGTATGTTTTAAATGGGTAAAGTTGTATGGTTTGTAACTACATTGCAAAATAATTGATTATAGGAGCTATCGTGAAATGGTGTGGCGCTGTCGATTAAAGCACTGGATCACAAGATTGGCAGTTGAAACTCACCAGCCTCTCCTTAACAATAACATAGTGAAAAGAAAACTTATATTTGGTTAGTCTCAAATCAAATCTACTTAAGGGTCATCACTGAGCAAGTGGAAGAGCTAGGATTAAGCCCCATAGCAGCCAGTATCTCTTTATGGAGTGTAACAGAGAACTTTGCTGGGGTTGTTTTTTTTTTTTGGGGTGGGGGGGTGAGCACAGATGAAATATTAATAGTTGTGTTTATTTTAGGGTTGTGTTACATGAAAACACCAAAACTTGCCTTACAATAGACATTCAGAATGAGGAACCAGTGGGTACATATTCCCATCTAATGTGAGTGTAAACAAAATCATAGGGTGGTTGGAATTACCTACATTATTTGAAAATTTCCCAAACTACAAATGCATTGGTGATTTGCACATGCTTAATGTTAGTGTGGTTCAACTGCTTTGACACTGAAGCACTTTTATGAGCTACAAAATTTGTGTAACTATTGGTTCTCAGCAGTTCTAGAATGACCAGATTAAGCTGCTGTATTTAGTAGAAAATACAGAGGCTTTAAGAAGGTATAGATTATTCTTTCACATATATGTTATGAATCAGACAGCACAGGACTAGTAGGTAGTTCCTCTATTATCAGGGATCCAGGCTCCTTCTGTTAGGTCTGCTTTACCATTTACAAAGGTATTTCACAGTCACAAAATGGCTGCTGGAGTACAGCTATCATTTCTCAGCCTCAGCCAGGAAGCCATCAATAAAAGCATGGAAACAGACCTACCCCATCTGAAGGGAAAAGGAAAATATTAGTAAGGAAGAGGTATTGTTGAGTAGACTTAGAAGATGCCACAATCCTGGGAAGAAAAAGCTACTTTAATACTTCTTGTTGTTGTAAGCCCTATCAGACTGGTTCCTACTCATGGCGATCCTTGCATGGGGTTTCTAAGGAGCGGCTGGCATGTTTATACTGCCGACTTTTTCATTAGCAGTGCATTGGTGATCCTACACCAGGACTCCACTTTAATATTTAGGCCTGGAACAAAAAGCAAAACCCACTGCCATCCATTCAGTTTTGACTTACAGCTTATTCCCAATTGCTGTGTTCTTGTCACTAGATTCTGAAAAGAAATTGCCACTCCTGTCAGAGGAACAACAAGCAGCCAGCACTTTAGTAGAATGCATCCGACAGAGTATTCAGCATAATGATGTGCTGAAACCCATCAATCTTCTTTCACAACAATGGAAACCAGATGTGAAAAGACAAAGGTAATCCAGTGTTTTCTTTTATGCTTGATGCCACTCAAAATGGTTTCATGTTTCTTTTTTAAAACTTATTTTATGTTTTTAAGTATTGGTGGTTGTAAAAGGCACCACCAGTTCATTGTAGAACATCAGAAACTTGCATTCATCCTTGAGCATATGCACATAATAAAAGTGTTTGTGTAAAGAGACAAAATTGTATAATAACAAGAATGTGCTGGGTCTTTGGGAAATAACGCTGCTGTTCTTGGAAACCCTTTTTGACTTTCACATTTATATTATATATATTTGTACTAGATAAGGCTTTTCTCTTTTGTGGGATGGACAGGAATAGAGGGTTAGAAGAAGCAGTTTAGGAAAGCAGTGAATTACAGAGGATGGGACACTGTCTGGATCTTGTTACTATTTCTGCTAACCTGCTCAAGCCAGTACTTATGCCAACCTCTGCATGAGTGAATTGTTCTTTGGACGCTTCAGAAAAGGGAACATAAACAATTCTGTGGAACATTACTAATGTTTATAGGGCCTTCTTCAAGTTCCATGGTATTTTTGATGCTAATCTCAGAAATGATAGGGCAGAAATTTATTAAAGAAAAGATAATATATGGTTGTCATTCAACAGTTCAGGTAGAGATGGTCTTACATACAATCTAAAAAGCACCTTGCTTCAGGTACCTGTAAATTAAGGGCAGGGTAATAATACAATTCAATGATCATTTTATGGTTTCTGAAGCTTCTGAGAAAAGTAACAAGAAATCAGCAATACTCCTTTTTTTCCTGTTGTGAAGTACTCAAAAACCAACTCATTTCCTAATTTTCTCCCATCTTCAACAACTGAGCCAGTGAAACTCATTTTAGATGTTTCATTTGTGATCTTTTTATGTTTATAAACTGAATAAAGGTGATTGATACCTTCTGTGGAAAAATCATAATAAAGACAACAACCTTCCCATTGTTTGTGTGAAGTAAATCCTTATTTACTATAGAAATTAATGTTCTATCAAATGAGAGAAAAATACAAAAAGGCTGTTTTGGTGGACATTTAATTAAAAATTAGGTAAAACATCACTTAAATGTTTTAAATGTATTAAGAGCTAAAACAAACTTTTTATTATTATTATTAGATTGGAGAAATAGGTTTAAAACAAGACTTTTGTTCTTGGTTATTAACTTTTTTCTTTTTTGATATCTTAATTTTAATAAAGAGTCACCAGAATTTGCCAGTGTACCCTTCGCCCATCTCCCTTCAAAGGTGGCATTTTCTGTAACTGTAGTGCAGTGACAAAGCTGCACACTGTTAACTAAACAGCTTATTTCATTTTTACCATTTTTAAAACTTATATTTGTGTGTTTGTGTTTAGGGGGATAGTTTTATTCTCTTTGTTAACTTTTTGTGAATTTAGTGGAAGGTTTATAGAATGGATAGATCATCAGTCCCACATTCAACAAATTATACACTTTGTGTCCTTACAATGATTTCAGTCTACTTCATGTATCATCAGTTAACAGTACTTACCTATCTTCATTTTATTTTTTTTCCTTCCCCCAACCCTCCACCCACCTTATAACCATTATAGAATGTTTCATTTAGCAAGAAAATCTTAACTTTTCACAACAATGGCCTTATACAATATTTGTCATTTTGTGCTTGACTAATCTCACTTTTAAAATATATTTATTTTATAGGAGTTTATATAGAGAAATCCTTTTCTTATCATTAGTGTCCCTTGGAAGAGAGAATATTGATATTGGTAAGTTGATTCATGATGATTTATTAAGGGAGGTTTATAGTTTAATTTTCTAATGTAATTTTAAAAATTGTAGCTGGTATGTATAAATAATACACTTTCCTTTAATAAGGGTTTTACCTTTAAATGTTGTAAAGTACCATTAAATCAGTTCTGACTTATAGCGACCTTGTATAGGATGACCTTGTACAGTAGTGGCTGGTGGGTTTGAACTGCCAACTTTGCAGTTAGCAGCCCAGTACTTATCCTACAGCGCCATACCAAGACTCCTTATCTTTAAAGTTTAAATATATGTGTGTAAATGTAATTTGATTTTGTGCCATTTTTAAATGCATAACTTTTCTTTATAAACAAGTTACAACTGTTTACAAATGTCTTTCAGAGGCTTTTGACAATGAATACGGACTTGCATATAGAAGCTTGTCTTCAGAGATTCTTGAAAAGTTGCAGAAAATTGATGCCCCGCCAACTACCAGTGTGGAGTGGTGCAGGAAATGCTTTGGAGCGCCTCTAATTTAAATACAAATTGAACTAATTCTTGAGGACAATACATAGTGAATTGTAGTTCAGAATGTATCATATTGCAAAGTAAAATTCATTGAATTGTCCCAGGGTTTAGTGATGTTGAAGACTTTCAGCTTCTGAACTGTTTCTGCAGAATGAATTTTGGATCTCTCAGTAATTTGTATTTGTTTGATAATTGACACAAAACCATACTCTTCATCTTAGGCATATTGTTAATATATATTATATTTGAAGCTAATGGGTTTGGGGAACAGTAAATTAATATAAACTTGCCTGGCCCCAAAACAAATGAAATTTCTCAATTATAAGAGCAACTATTTGTGTATGTGGCTGTATATATGTGTGATTGTGTGGATGTGTTTGTGTATACAACCCTGATATCAGTGAGTATTTATTGAAATTCTTAGATTGCATGTTGCAATACAATTTTCAGAAAAGAGGGCTTATTGACTGTTAAAGAAATGACTAGTGCTAAACTGGTATGTAGTCATTAACCTCAGTTACCTGAAGACTGATGACAGTATCCTTGCCTCTGACTTTAAACTTAATACCTTCACCTTTCATATTAGGTATTAGCCTTACTCAGTGGATTCCGTTGTGACTCTCGTTACTTCCTTCCATCCTTTCCCCAACACCATGTTAATCTGAAACAGCTTTAAAATTGGAATGAATGAGTCCAGTGAAATAGTTTACAAAGTTAGGTTGGTTTCCTAAGTAATTGAAGTATACTTACAGTGCTAGGTATATATAGTCTTTTGACCTGAAATCTTTGTCTAGACACATCTATCCTTGCTATCGCTCACTTTTTAAAACCTGTGGGATAAACTTGCACTGCAGTTTTATTCTTGTACAATACTTGTATTTGTATACTTGTGAGTAAAAATGTGTATTTGTAAATAACATTTTTAGGTTGAATCAGTTAAGTTCTGAAACTTTAAAGCTTCTTGGCAGTAGATTTAATCATGACCTCACATGTTTCACTTTTTTATCATGTTCTGTAGAAGCAGAAAGTTTGCCTAATCTCATACTGCTAATTTGAAAAGGTGGTGTGTGGAGATGGTGTAGTTAAGAAGTCTGTTTTTATAGTTATTATATAAGATGACAAAATCAGCTGATTAAAAAAAAAAAATCACTACTGGGCTATACAGTTTAACAACATAAATCCCCTTTCTACCTAGTGTAATCTATTTATAGTTATTGTACCAGTCTTTCCATATTTCAGGAAATTTGATATATGCAGCAGTATAGTCTAAGTTCTCATTCCTTTCAAAATGGACCTTTTGCACCTGTTTCAGAATATGTATTTTTACAGTTTTGTTGAAACTGAAGTTTTAATAGTTACTGACCCAACAAGAAGTGTGGCACTAACATGCCAGATTTAAATTGCGTACAAAATTGAGGTTGAAGAAAATGAAAAACGTTTTGAGTTTACCATTAATATGACATTTTTAAGGCTCCTGAAATATGCAGGATTAATTCAAAGCCTTGTTTTTTTGTTGTTGTTGCTGTGAACTCAAAAGTCTATCCGTTCCTTTTCTTTAGTCTTCATGACATAGCACTTCTGGTTGAAAAACAAAACACACAAAATTTTAATAAAGAAATATGTAACATTTAATATGTATATATGTTTAATTGCCAACTGAAACATCTGTTTATCAACCTCAGTATACTGTTACCAACATCAGATATCAAATTATTAATTTTTTAGTTAACTTAACATTTTAAGTAACTTTAATATTTTATGATGTCACGGTCTTCCAAACCTTAAGAGAAAACTGTAAAAGTTCTTAACAAGCAATTATTTCACTGCTTCCCTGCTCATCTAGATTGGAAGCATGTGGAGTTTAACATTTTGTGTTATTAAGACCCATTTACATCTTGGAAACCTTAACCTGGTATCCTCTAGATATGGGGCCAATTTCCTGTATTAAATCACTTAAAAGCTTTTCGTAACGCCCACCACAGAAAGGATATCACTGGAACTTAACACCAAATATGTCAAATCATGTTGTGGAGAGATTTAAGAAAATGTTTTTTAACCTCATTGCCTTTGTATCTCAACATAGAAACTTCAAGACTGAGAACTACTGAAAAAAGCAGTCTTTGAAATTAGTCTGTTTTTAGTGTTAATGGGTTTTTGTTGGGTGTGATCTTGAATTTAGCTGTATTTTGTAAGTCACCTAGAATCATGTGTGTGGCTGAATATTGATTTGTCGTTTTAGCAGCTCTCCTCATTGAAATCAGAAAGGACGGTTTCCATTTTGTGCATCAGAATCAAGCAGGTACTGGTCTTCTGGACTGAACCTCAGATTTGCCTTCTGCTTTTAAGTTACCCAGATGGGCTGTAATTATTGTTTTGGGTGGCTTGAAGTTTCACAGCTTCAGCTCCCATTAATCTCAGTTGCCAGTGTTGCTGTTATCTAAGTTTTAACTGCATTGGAAACTATAGAGTCCTCCTTCAGGGGCTGGCATTAACCTCAGCTAGGGCTGGTAATATGTGGCCCTATAGGATAAGCACTGCAAGGTGAGTGGTTCAAATTCATGAGCTGCTGCTCAGATTTAGTGAATTAGAAGCTGGGCTGCTAACCATTAAGGTCAGTAGGTCAAATCTACCAGTTACTGAGGGAGAATGAGGGTTTCTGGTCCTTCCTGTTAATGATTTAGTCTCAGAAACCCTACACAACAGGGTCACTATGAGGAAAGTACACCACTCCCCAGGCATATTAGAAATGTGGAATCTGGGGCCCCCTTGCAGAAACTACTGAGCCACAAGTCTGCATTTCAGCTAGTCTCCAGGTAATTCTATTTCAGCTATTGGAAAATTTCAACTCATAAAGTGAGCTTTACTTCAGCCTAATGTGCCTTAAGACTTTGCTAGTAGTGTAAATGTTAAGGTTGAATAGGTTTCAGTTACTACAGTAATTGAACAGGGTACTTTCAAAAGTATATTTTCCCTGTGCATCCTTTGTTGGTGCAGATGTTTTGTTTATATTAGCGGTCAACTTTTCAGAGTGTGAAAGTAAAAGCATGAAAAATTTTTTTAACATTTCACTAGTTTAAAAAGATTTCTATTAATGCAATAAATTTGCACTGGTTTTAAAAGCTTTGTAAACTTTTTAATAAATGGTATCCATTAACTATGCTTTAACTACTTTTTTTTCTTCATGTCATGTCTTCACAAGGGCACTTTTCCTGTATTACATTTTGTATAGATAAGAAAAGCTGTATTCTTCAAAATAAAACTATATACAGACTTACAATCTTATTTCCTCTGATGTTGTTCAATGCCTTGCTGAAAGTAACCTATGAATATACTTTGCAGCATTACCACCCACCACTCTCCCCAGTGGCCCTCTGTGATACTACAGGAAGGTTACAGTCTCAGTATTGGATGATCCCATTGTTATTTCTGTACAACCCCTATTTTTCAGTCACTAACGAAAACACTCAAGTAGATTTAATATGAGCGTATTTATTTGTCACACATAGGAATTTCTTATTTTTGACTGGATTCCGACTTGGAGGTAGAAGCTCTCAGTGAGGACAGCCTACGTCTCTTGGCAATCTGTTCCTGACGTTTTTCTTTGGCCTCCTAAACAGAACAAAGAAACACAATTAAAGCTTATCTAGATTAAAGTAAAATACAAATCCAAAATTGGTGGGCCAAGACTTTTATAAGATTTTCACCTTCATCCTCTTGGCCAAAAGCTTGGCATATTCTGCAGCCTCCTCCTTATTTTTCTTAGTGCGTTGTTTCTTCAGAGCAATACGCCGACGTTTGTGTTGCAGGACACGTGGAGTAACAAGACGCTGAATCTTGGGTGCTTTGGTCCTGGGTTTCTTGCCTAAAAACCAAGACTATTTTACCATATTTGAAGAATGTCATCTTTCCATTTAAAACATTAAAATAGATTTTAATTTGATGCATATACAATTTAAGATTTGATGTCGTCAAGGTATGGCAGACACTATTGAATACTAAAAGTATCATCCTATCTTCCAAGATGGTAAATGCCATCAAATTGGTTCCACCTTACAGCAATCCTGTTACAGAGCTTCCGAAGAGCAGCTGGTCAGTTTGAACTGCTGACTTGGTCCACAGTCCAGTGCTTACCCTACAGCGATGATAGGTCTGTTTTACAGTAGAGGTTTCTTCAGATGCAATTATTTTTACTTTATATTGGGGGAAATGATAAACATCTCAACTATAGAAATTGTTTAAATTCTGCTAAAAATTAAGCCAGCTCTGGTAGCGTAGTGGTTATAAGTCAAGGTGCTAACCACAGGGTCAGCGTTCAAAACTACCAGCCGTTCTGCATAAGAAAGATGAGCCTTTCTTCTCCCATTAAGATTTAGTCTCAGAAACCCTGTACAGGGGTCGGACCTGATTCCACAGCACACCACCGCTACAGTTAAATGGAGTCCTGGTGTGGTGCAAGGTTAGCAGTTTAAACCCACTAGTTCACAGGAAACCCTATACAAGGTTGCTATGGGTCAGAAATGACTCTGGCAATTAACAGTAAACAGCTTTGAAATATCTGTCAACAAGGCTTCTACTGCACCAATGGTCTGTAAAGGTGGGATTATGGGGGAACGCCACATGCATTTTATTTGCAAATGTAAAAAAGGAAAACATGTCAACTGTAACAGATGTCTGCAGTTCAGACCAACGCTGTGGTCCAGTGCTTATCCTGCAGTGTCGTACCAAGACTACCTAATGTCAAAGTCCTCCAATTCTGTAACTCCAAGCCCAAACTGTATGAACACACACCATTTAGTATAAATATCCATACATTCCTTCCCTATAAAATTTTGATACAGAACCCAGGTCACAATAGACCTCACTGGTGATAAGCATAAACATTTGAAATGTAGTTAAGAGATCTGATAATGTATGAACTAAGACTAGAGGAGCAGGTCCGTTTAAAAAGAAAGTAGTATAACTCTGAGAGTTTGGGTGGGTAACGAGAAAGAACTCATGCCACTTAAAAACTAGCCA